ACCAAGTTTTGTTGAGTTTCAAACTTTCCTCTTTTTTTGTTGAAGTTCTGCTGGTGCTTATGGATTTCAATGGCTTACCTGTGCAGTCTGACGTAATGACTGCTGGTGTTGTCCTGTGGGAAAAATCCCCAGGGAACCGCCACTTGGAAGCCAGCCCAGAGATTTCTGATAGAAAAGGACAGACTACAAACTTTAGTTATGAAGCATATCACCGGTGAAGAAGATGTCTGCCTGTAAAAATGTCTGTCTTCTTCCCCGGAGGCATGCCTTTTTATTAAGTACCGTCATTAGCATTATTTAGCATAAAGATAAGATTTTAGCCAACGAAACGTCATGTTCACTTACATTCCACACATGCGCAGAGAATCATAGAACAATGCTTGGTTAGGCTAAGCACCACTGGTGTATCCCTTAATAGCCACAAGATGGAACTCTAGACCAAAGACTTTCCACTAAATACTTCCTACATTGTCCAGTATTTAAGTATTTTGAAATAGAATTTCATGTCCAGTTTGTTTTAGGGCATGTTCAGCTACTGCAGATTTAGTCTCTCATGTTCTTTGATTCTGGTGTGGATGCTTCATTTTGCGGTTCCAATATATACCTGGCCACAACTGCAAGGTATCCGGTATACTCCTGCAGTGGTGAGGGAGTCTCTTCTGTCCTTTGCTGACCGTAACATTTGTTGTATTTCTGTGGCAGGCTGGGCTTGAATACTGTTTGTAGGTTGTGTTTTTTCAAAAGTTTCCCCATGCAGTCCGTAGCCCCTTTGATGTATGGCAGAAATACTTTGTTTGTGGGTGGCTGTTTTTCTTCTTCAGTTCGGTGTTGTTTTCTTGGTTTGATGGCTCTTGTGATTTCATTTTTGGAGTAGCCATTTGCCTGTAGGGCCCGATTCAACCATCTGGGACAAGCGACGGGAGCTCACTCCGTCACATGGATTCGATCTTACGACTGCTTGGTATTCTGACCATGCAGCACAGAAGTTAGATTTTGTTCTTAGGCCAGAAGTCAACAAATATACCCTCCTCTTTCTAGTAAAATCATACAGTAAACAGTGGAAAATAATACTCAAGAGAATTAACAGAAGTCCTCTGCCCCATGCATTATTATTTTAGCACTAAAATCAATGAATGAGAAAGAAAATATTCTCAGGACAGCACAATCCTATATTTATTTAGAAGGCAGTTCAATGAAATTGAACCCTAGATGTACATATAACTGAAGCCTTAATAAATATCACTGCACTATTAGAAAGCAGTCAAAAATAATTTACCCTGAAAAAGAGGTTTAGCAAAACTAAGAAATTGTGAACAAAAAAATAAACAGAAGTTAAAAATAAAATAAAATGCAATGTGGCTTTATTCAAGCATGTCTCATACACATGTTCAGAGCCCTGCAACAGATACCCAAGTACTGTATACCTATTTCTCTGCTCTATCAAAATATTATGCAAGTGGAATCACAGGCACCTGCTTTGTAGCAAACCTGCTACTTTCACTCCCACTTAGTCTGAGACTTTTATACAGGGCCCTGAAGAAAACTGACTATGCACCAAAGTTCTATGCCTTAATGAATACCTACCATCCTCCTTATACTTCAGATTAAGGATAATCTCTTTTTTTTAAGTTAAAACAGTCTGAATAACTCAATTAGCAGTGAAGGTTAACACAACACCTCAGGTCCACTAAACATAAAATTTAAAAAACTTAAGATACCTGAAAGACAATGTAGATTTTAACTGTGAGCTTCCTACCTACCTAACAACTAAGTTTGGGTTAATCTCTGTAATATGAAGAATTTAGCAACAGAAGGAATCCATGAAGTTTCACCGCCTGCAGGTGGCAACCACCTAGGGACCAAGACAACAAACTAGCCCATCAGGGACAGCGGTTCCCTCCCCAGACCTTCTTCACCCTCTGGGATGCTCTTGCAAAGGAATCCTCTGGATTTGTTTTTCCTAACTTTTCTCCCCTTAAAAAATAGGATTCCCTCAGTAGTCGGCTATAATGGTGTAGCCCCCGGTATCATTATCATCGGAATCACTACCGCCACCACTCCCACCTGGCTTAAGCAGACCAGAGTTTCAGTCAGGAGTGGGTTGGATTCCAGTACCCATCAGTCCCTGGCGACATAAACGAGGCATTATGGGTTTTGTAGTTCGACCGGTGCAGAGCCAATCCTTCCCCAGTTCTCCTTTATACGTGACAGTTTTTGTGCGCTGTGAGACCTTAAGTCGCCTCTGACATACGGCGACCCTAATCAGGCAAGGAAGACAAATAAGTGTTTTTTGCCAGACTCTCTCCATGACCCTTTTTCCTCCGTACCAGATTTCTGCCCATCCCCAATTCCCGAACCCCTGCCCCACCCATAACCTTATAAACAGCGGCACATGCGCCACGTTCCCTCCTGCCCGGGACTTCCCCGCGGGCCGTCTAACCACCCTCACAACCGAGGCAACGCTGCCAACAATCCTCCTACCCACAATGCAACTCGGAACAGCCAATCACCATTCTCTCTCTTCGCCTACGTCCGACCCGGAGGACGCTCGAAGGGGACACCCAATCAAAACAAGGCTTTGCATGACGTCACCGAGTCCTGAAACGGCGGCCCTTTTTCCCTATGGCCAAAGGGGGTGTGGCCACAGGTGATTTTTTTTCCAGACTTGGGAGGAAAGAGGGCGTGGCTCTTACTGCTGGAGGGAGCTTCTGTAAATTCCTGCTAGCGTTATTTGCTGCTAGGAGCTGTCCAGTTAGAGTTCTCCAGTTTGCCTTGCATTAAAGCTAATTAAATGCCACAATGCAACATTCAGAACTGTCGTCGTTGTTCTTTCCACCCACTGAATGAAGCCTTCTGAAAGAAATATTTGTCAGTAATCTTATCTCTTGGTGCTGGAGGAGGCTCTTGAGAATCCCCTGGACTGCAAGGAGAACAAACCTATCAGTTCTAAAGGAAATCAACCCTGAATGCTCACTTGAAGGACAGATCCTGAAGCTGAGGCTCCAGTACTTTGGCCATCTCATGAGAAGAAAAGAGTCCTTGGAAAAAACCTTGATGTTAGGAAGGTGTGATGGCAAGAGGAGAAGGGGACGACCGAGGATGAGATGGCTGGACAGTGTCTGTGAAGCAACCAACATGAACTTGACACAACTCCGGGAGGCAGTAGAAGACAGGAGGGCCTGGCGTGCTCTGGTCCATGGGGTCACGAAGAGTCGGACACGACTAAACGACTAAACACACACACAATCTTATCTCTGAATTTGCGGGCATGAGAAATAGAAACAAGATGATAACTTTTAAAATAGCTGGCCTGGTGCAGCAAGTTGGAAGTTTTCTCACAGAGGAGGAAAAAAGTGGCAGTGCCTAAGATGCTTTGATAAGGAGGTGATGGGGAAGGGTCTCAGGTGAACATTTTGCCAGGGGCTTCTTACTGTCTTAAAAAGAAGCTGCACCAGTCAATGCCTGCATTATTCTTTGAACGCGGTTGCAATGCCGTAGAGTGTCCTGTAGGGGGCACCAAGGCACTGGAGAATCATCACGTTCTGTACAGTATTTATTGTTTGGGTATGGTTTAGTTGCACAAAGGATTTGCAGCAGAATTTATTGCAATGTTCAAGATTTCAGCAAACGTAATTGAGTAGTTGGTTTTGTTGGCAGAAACAATCTGGACAGTAAGTGTGATGAGTATCAAGACACACAAAAAGGGGGATAGTGGGAAAATCTGTTTTGGAAAGTAAGATTAAAAAGTGAAAAGGGAGACTCAGAAAGCTGAGACACCAGACATGCCTTTGAACAAGTGAAGTTAACAAGATTCAGTCAGCAGAGGTCAAGAAGACAATAGATACAGATAAGGCTAGGCAGCCAACCCTAGCAAGTTGGTGTTAAATTTTCGTGACAGCACAGGTGAGAGTTACTGATTGTAGTGACAGTACTATACAAGCCATTGCCCCTATTCAAACCAGACCCAGGAACTATAATACACATAGGAATTTTGGCAAAGGGGAAATTTATCAATTAAAATTTTCTTAATAGCTAACGTATTCTGTGGTACTACACTAACATAAATAAGTAACAATATGGCATGCTTTCCAAAAAGTTCTCATGGAGCAGAGTTTTTGCCACTATAAAATAGGTGGCTTTATAGCAATACCCTCATTGACAGAAGTAAAATATCTACACTCTAGTGTGAGCTAGGAAAAATTTTGTTTCCCCAGCTGTGTTAATAAAGGCTGGGTAATCTGTGACATTCTAGTAGTGGTTGGGCTACAGCTCCCGTCAACTTTCACCATTAGTTGTGCTGGCTAGATCAGATGGGACTCTGCCTCTAAGTTCTAACACTAAACTGGTGCACTGACAACATGGTTTCTCTTTCTTTCCTTTTCTGTAGTGCTACTTTTGTCGGGCCACAATTGATACAGCAATCAAGATCATTAGTGAAGTCAGCTGTCCAATGAGTGCTCATATATCTGCGCCTAAAATCTGTGGGAAGCTGAAGAAGACAGATATTGAGATCTGTGAGATCATATATGGTATGGTGAAATCCATGTGCAGTACAAATGAGAGCAGACTGAACATGCTGCTCTGTTAAGTGGCAGAAGGGCACTGTTTACTTCTATCTATGTTGTGGCCCCAGTCTTATACCTGATGGAACATTTGACATGAACTGCCTTTTTTCTGCACATCAATGATTTAATTCTCAGGTTTTATTTTCAGCAGATGGGCTTTATTTTTCTAATTCAAAAAAGTCTAACTGAAATCTAGTCTGATGCTGTTCTTTAATGACTAATTACCACATATTCTGTTGTTTTCCTGGATAAGTTATAAGGATTAAAACTATTCCACTTCTTACATTACTGTTAAAAGGGGTAAATGAGGGGGAAATAGACATTACAAATAAATATAGCTGTAGGTTGTTATGTGCTGTCTTGTGGCCTCTAAGTTATGGCAACCCTATAAATTAACAATGTTCTAAAAGTCTTCTTTTTATCAATTCTGCTTGGGTCTTGCAATCTATAGGTTTGGCTTCCTTTATTGAATCAATCCATCACATGTTAGGTCCTCCTCTTCCTCATTTTGTCTTGCTTTCTGCTTTTCCTACTATCTTTTCCAGCAAGTATTTTCTTTTCCTGATACATCCAAAGTAAGCAACATTCTCTCTAATTTTCACCTCTAATTTTTCAGAATCTGCAGGGTTATGTCATTGGAGCCAAAGGGGCTGAAAATGATGCTGTCGGCGAATGGAGGAGGAAGGCTACGTGGAGGGGAGCAGAGTCATGTACGTGCAAGTGTGCACCTTAAAAGGAACTTTAGAAGTAATCTCAGTTTAGTAATTTTAGCTTCCAGGGTGAATTCTGGCTTCATCTGCTCTAGAACCCATTTATTTGTCTTTCTGGCAGTCCATGTTATCTGTTAAAACTCTCCTCTAGCACCATGTCTCATTAAATTCTGGCTTGATCAGTCACAAGCCACAGGCTGATACCTGCTGCTCAATCACTCCTGCTTGCCTAGAAACACTCTGCAGTTTGCTTATTTGTTATGGTATGTTATAGCATCTGAAAACAGGCACTTTCTTGCTTTCTGGTTTGTTCATCTCCCAACAAATGAGAGAAACAGACCAAATACAACCAATGGATGTCTGCTCTGATTTCCTGGGAGACAAACAAGTGCCTGGATTCATACAACGTAGTGAACAAACAAAAGCATGAAGCTGGTCCCACTGCATTTATAGCTGATAATGAGTATGATGACACGGATGCATTAATCAAGCATGAGTGCTCTTCCATTCTCTATTTCTAGTACTAGCCAATCTGTAACATAAAAGCAAAAGCGTGCTGCTTATATACTGCCCCATAGCTCTTCAAGCACTCTCTGAGCGGTTTACAAGTTAATTATGCAGGCTTCACATTGACCCCCCCCCCCCCCAGCGAGCTGGGTACTCATTTTACTGACCTCGGAAGGATAGAAGGCTGGGATTGAACCTTGAGATCTCTGTAACCATATTCAGCCAAATGCAGTTACAGAGACTTCTTTGGACATTTGTGCTCAATGTGTGATAGTCTAACTTACTTCCAGTAGATGCGCTGTGACATTTGGGGGAGTAGGGTGTGTACTCTAGTTCTAGTCCTATGTGTTATCAGGCAAAAGTCTTATGTAGAATTAGCTAATTGAAACAGCTTTCCACCTCCTTTTTGGTGATAGTTTGTGTAGGGGGAAGACATTTATTTCTTTGGTCTAAAATGGAGTAGACAGCATAAAGATAGCCGATCTTTGTTGGACATGGTTGGCACTATGGATTAAACTGCTGAGCCACGGGGCTTGTCAATCAAGAAGGTTGGCAGTTCGAATCTGCACAACAGGATGATGTTGCTTATCCCAGCTCCTGCCAACCTAGCAATTCGAAAGCATGAAAGTGCAAGTAAATAAATAGGTACCACCTTGGTGGGAAGGTAATGGTGTTCCGAGCCTAGTCAGGCTGGCCACGTGACCAAGGAAAGGATCTACAGACAAATGCCATCTCTTTAGCTTATAAAGGGGGATGAGCATCAGCGCTTACAGTTGGACACGACTGGACTCAATTGTCAAGTAAAACCTTTACCTTTACCTTTATTTGTTCATACAGAAAGAAAACTTGACTTAGCATCAGTAGACCTGTCTATGCTGAGAGTGAAGGAAGATCTTGAAGAGCTGGAGAAAGATCTCCAGAGCATGCATTGAAAAAATGGACTTTGTGAACCTGATCAAGATGCTTGCACCAAAGCATACAGCTTCAGCTTCCCGAGCAGACCTCTGATGGACTGTCACTGAATCTAAGCACATACCTGCTACCAAATTTTAGTTACTGTATTTTTCCATGTATAAAATGACACTTTTCCCTTAAATAAATAGACCAAAAATTAAGGGTCGTTTTATACATGAAAGGCAGCCACTTTCCCTGCCTTTTGTGAAGCCACGGGGCTTAGCAAAAAGGAGGGGAAGGCTCCCTTCGGGTAAAGCAGCTGTGAAAGGGCTGCACGATTGCAGCCCTTTGATCCTGAAGTCCTTTCATGGTTGCTTCAGGATCAAAGGGCTGCGATCGTGCAGCCCTTTCACAGCTGCGTTATCCAGTTCTTAAGAACGCAACCATGAAAGGGCTGCACGATTGTAGCCCTTTGATCCTGAAGCAGCCATGAAAGGACTTCAGGAACAAAGGCCTGCGATCATGCAGCCCTTTCACGGCTGCTTTATCCACTTCCTAAGCCCTGCGGGGATAAAATTTTCTAATTTGGGGGTTAGAAAAGGGGGGGGGTCGTCTTATACATCAGGTTGTCTTATAAATGGAAAAATACGGTATGTTTTTTTAAATAAATGAAATGCCTGGGAGGGGAAGTAAAGGACTCAGACAGCTGGAGATAAATAATCCAAAGAATCCAAATTTGAGTAAAAATATTGACAGTGATAGCAATACCTTCTCTCTGACTCACTTTATGATAAGATCACCCCTTTCTTGTAGTTCTTCAGTTAACGTCACTGTGGGAACATACAGTTTTTTCACTGTTTAAGCCTGCAGTGGCTTCTTTCTTAACTGTATGTCCAACAGAAGGCCTCGTGTTCAGAGATGGGAAATGTCACTTTTTTGACAACAATTCTCAAAATCCTTCAGTCACCATGACCAGAGGCCATGCTGACCAGAAATTCTGGAGGGTTTAAGTCCAAAAAAATAATGTTTCCTATTTCTGCTTCTGTTTGCCCCCACATCTATTCTTTCCCTTGATGGTCAGGCCAGCAGTTCATCTCCACTCAAATCAACCACCACCTCCTCAAACCATCCCAATGTGTGAAGGACAGAAGCAAGTAACACCTAAGATGTGTGAGCGACTGTTATTTGAAAGCATACTTTCCAATTCCCAGACTACTAGCCTGAGAGCATTGGAGAAATGTGGTTGACAACCTAATCCAGAGCTTGGAAGTGTTACTTTTTTACTATAACTGTCAAACCTCTCGAGCCAACATAAAGTTACAGTTCAAACATTTTTTTCCCTGAGGTCTGACTCAACCTGCAGGACCATCATTAGGTCCTTGGAGACCTGCCAAGCTTGTAATTGGTTCAAAAAGTGACCATTGCTGCTGAAAATTCTAAGGCTTTGTGTTTACATGGTTGCCATGACAATAAGGTTCAAGCCGCTCCAATGTTGCTCAGTGACTTTCTGGACTTGGCCAGAGGAAGAAACAGCTACTGCTTTGTCAGTGGCTCCAGGTTGTGACATCGGGTCACTCCACTTGGTTACAATTGAAGTGGGTGTCATGTTTTTAGGTCATGGCCCTTGTCCAGACTGTTCAGAGTAAGTCCTGGCCACTAGTGGCAACTTGTGCCTGTTGGGGTTGGTGGGGTGGACATAAAGCTTAGGAAATTTTGTTTTTTTTTAAAAAAAACACTTTCAAGAATCCTCCAACCTGGAGGAATCTCAGACTCGTAGCTCAGAAATTAGACTCTTCCACACTCTGGGTGGAGGACTGGATGACCAGTCAGCTAGGTTTCTTTTGCTGCCCAGCTTCAATTGTTCTGAGCAGCGTCTGTGCTGGCAGAACATGTGTAGTTTTTCCACCACCTTTTCATGCTACCCCAGTGCTCCAGTTAGGCACATCACTCCCTGAAGAATGGTTTTGGTCTTGAAAAAGGGACAGAAGAATGAGAAAAGGGTTAATACACAGGTAAATCTCCTCATATTCCTCAATTTTCTAGGTCTGAATGTTTATATCTGAAAGTGGGAGCCCAAAACAGAACAGGGACTCTGTGCGTGTAGTTTCCACCGCACTGCTCAACCATCTCCATTCCTTAGCTAACCAAGCTGATATCAGGGGTGCAGCTGGTGTCCCTCTGCTAGGAGACTTAAATGGCTAGGGATGTGTTACTGATCTGGGTGTGAAGGACCTTTCTGTGGTTCTATTATAGACAGACCACTACTTGGTTGTGTTTAGACTCATTGAAACTAATGGTATGCCCCAGAAGGTTAATGAATTCAAATGGTTTCCTGACAGCTCTTGAGGAGTTTATTGTCACCTTGGCAAATGATCCCATTGAAAACCTGGGTGACTTCTGAGAGGTGGAAATATGCATGATGGTTGATGTAATCATAAGTGCTTCCTTCCATGGTGTGGAGCCAAACTGGCTCCCTGGTTTACTATGATGAAAGAAGTAGAGGAGAGACTAGAGTGACAATGGCAGAAATCCAACTGAACATGTGCTAGAGCCCACGGGAAGGCTTGCTGTATACAGAGGCAAAGAAATATGTATTTCCTGCCACCACTGTGCTTGCACAGAGTTGTCCAGGGGAGTTCTTTCAAGTGGTCAAGGGGCTACTACATGCTGGTCCACAAAAAGAGAATGCAGAACTCTCAATAGCCTACTGTGAAGAATTTGCACAAAACTCTACAAGCAAAATTGCTTAGATGTGCTCTGACCTAGATGCTGTAGCTGATACAGATTGTTTGTCTGGAATGAGATTTGAATGCATTGTTCTACAATGGTTCTGGTCTTTATTGAGAGACTTGTGTTCAACATCCTGGCTACTCTGTGGTATCTCTCAGTGTTCTGTTTGGTTTCTCATTCTATTTAACATATACAGGAAACAACTGGGAAAGGTTGTCTGGCATTTTTGGGTTAGGTGCCATCAAAATAATTAGATGGTTTTGAATCAGTGTCTGGTATCAGTACAGTAATGGACAGGATGGGGGTGAGTAAAGTGAAGATTAATCCAGACAAGACAGGGGTTTCCTGGTCACTCAAAGGCAGATCAGAGAATAGCATTTTGGCCTGTAGCTAGATGGAGTTCTACGTTGCCCCGAAACACAGTCTTCACTCCTCACACAGAGACAAGAGACCTGGGGGTTTCTGGAGACTGGCCTTGGCACTCATGGTGCAAAAAAAAGGAGAGAGCCCCCCAGCCGAGTCCAGCCCAGATATAGTCCAGCCCAGTCATAGAGAGTAACTAAAAGGTTGTTAGCTGGAGAACAGTTAGAGAGAGCTGCTGAGTGAAGCACAACAACATAGTTACTGGAATTAACAGCAGAAAACCAGGTCCTTTTTAAAAACAGTACAGACATTAAACACTAATTCATTTAGGCTTAAACATGCCACCCAAACAAAGCCAAAAAGGGAGCCAAGAGGTACAAAGTTTACCTCAGGAAGTGGAGGGAAATGGAGACCCTCTAGCTCCAGTGGAACAAGAGGAGACTGATGAGGGTGCCTCAGAGAGACAAAGGGTTCTAAGCTCCCAAGATTTTGAAAAATGGAAGTTGGAACAAGAATTCAGGCTTAAGGTAAAGGAATTAGAAATTAGAGAAAAAACCAGAGCTGAAGAGAGAGCTAGGGAACTAGAGCTCAAGGAGAGGGCAGAGGCCAGACAAACGGAATCAAGACAAATTTCAAATAGATGTGAAAAGATTGGAAATTGCTGCTCAAAATAACAACAACTCTAGGGGGAAGATATCGCTCAAAAATTGATCTAAAGAAATTTCCCCAATATAGGAAAGGAGATTGCCCTGAATCTTTCATCATTTCATTTGAGAGAGCGTGCTGGGACTTTGAGATTAAGGATGATGAAAGGATGATAGTTAAGATCACAAATAAGTGGAGATTTAGCTGAGCTTTATTCTCAGATGCCTCTGGAGCAAGCTAGAGATTTTGAGGCATATAGAAAAATTGTATACAGTATTCTAGATTTGGCATAAACCCGAGAAGAAAATTTCATTCCCTTGTCAAAAAGCCTGAAGAATCTTATGCCCAAGTGGGGGCTAAATTGATTCAATGTTTGGACAAATGGAATGCGAAAATGTCACTTCTCTAGACCAAATGAAAAATGTGGTTGGTTTAGAACAATTTTATTCCATTTTGCCTGGGGAATTGCATTATTTAGTCAAAGACAAATATCCTAAAAATGTATTACAGGCATTTGAATATGCTGATTCCATTAGTGAGATCAGAGATCCTAAGTTTTCTGAGGTAAAATTTTAGAGGCAGAACTGGGACAACAGTAAGATACCCTTCAAAAAAAAATTACAACAATAAAATGTCAGGGAAATATGGCCAGCTTAGTACCTCACCTAAGTTGCCCGGACCTAGTCTGAAGAAGCGAATGAGCCCTGAGGAAAAGTTTGACAGATCTCCTCAGTATGATCGAAGGACTTCGTGTTATAACTGCGGAGAGTTTGCGCATATTCAATCAAATTGTATGAAGAACAATAAAAATAAAAATGGAAAAGATAATAAGACCAAAAAAGGTTTACTGCATAAAACCAGTGGAAGCCACTGGAGGAGGCTGTAACAATGGTTCTGTCTCCATGGCAATTAGCATGTCAGAAAATTCTGATCTACCACTAGCTAGAGTTGTTCAGTGCTTCCTTATAAAGGCAGATAATATTTTACTACAGAACCCTGGTGAGAAAATTCTTATTAATGAGAAGTCTTATGCAGGGGTTGTTGATTCCTGTTCCGACATAACCCTGTGTCATCCTGATGTAGTTCCTAAAGAACAAATACTTCCAAATCAAACTGTTACCATCAAGGGAATAAGTTCTATTCCAGTGATTTTACCTATGGCTAAAGTAAAGATAAACTATCAAGAATGGGTTGGAATTTGGGATATAGCAATTTCTGATCAAATACCTGCCCCTTGTTTGATCAGATTAGATATCGCTAAGCATGTGCAGAGTGTGTTTGTAGTAATACTTTCTCAGGGAGAGCAGTTAACAATCCCTGAGGGAAAAATGGAATCCCTAACTTCTGAAAGTAAGTGTCACGTTCCCGGAGGTTACAACAGCGGAGTGCGATAAGCCAGTCCTATGTCAGGAATTCAGGGAATGCAGAGCAGATATCCAAATACCAAAACCAACTCACACAAC